ACGCAGCAAATCGAGTCTCATGATTTCAGCCACACGATTGATGCAGACCGGCTGCCAAAATTTCAGCTCTTGCCCGCGCTGCATGCCCTTTATTCGGGGGTTCGCCTTATCAACAATACCCAGGTTCCTGCAGGCCTCCTCGTGATTATCGAATTGGTACTCCTGGGCGTCTAGCCACTTTTCATGCATCGAGATCCTCTCATAATCCTCCAATGTTGGTTGGATGAGCAGATCATTTGCATCTGTACTGGTATCAAACGACCACTGGAGATTCTCTGCGGTCTGGTATGCGCTTGACTCGAAAACGCGGTTGTCCAGCATTTTCCTCATATCCACTGCTTTCTTGACGCGCTTGGGTTTTCTTGGTGTGGTATCACTGACATCATCAGTTTCCACACTTTCAGCACTCTCAGCAGTCGCGACCATCTCCTCTGCCTGTGCTATGGTTTGAGGCCTGATAACTGCAGGGCGGCTTCTATGCGAGCATAGGCCCAAAACGGATCTTTAAGATCAAAGGTCTCCGACTGCCGTTTGAGGATCAGCCTTTGTCGGTCACTCAACGGCTCGTGCTCCCAGACTTGGGTCCGTGGTTGCTGTGCCCCCAACGGACCCGGAACTCATCTTCGGTTGTGTCTGCAAGTGATGACAGCGATGATTCTCCATCTGACTCTGGTTCTTGTACCTCCTTCGGGTCCGCCTTGCTCTTAGCTGCGGAATCAGCCCCTGCCTTGGCCGCTTGCTGCGCCCTAGTGTTGTGCACTTTGATGGATTTGTACTCTATCATTTTTTTTGATCACTGGAGTCAGCTGTGAAAGCCTTTTCCAGAATGCTCCCGAATTCTTACCTGGCAGGGTCTCCCCGAAAATCGCCTTTCCGCCACTTGGCTTATTTATTTGCGACGGGCTATGCATCTGTATGAGAATGTTCTTCAAAGTCCATATTGCCGTGTCCATGATGTTCTCAGGGAGGTTCTTCTGAAAGAACACTCCCCCCCGTCTGTGCGTGTTTTCCGATCTCACATTATGGACGAAGTATGCGAGGTGTTCGTTAAGATCCCATCCGGTTTTCTCGACATGGCGACGGCTGTATTTCGCGACGCCCCGTGCTTCTCCTTTAATTATTAGCTCCTGGATCCGGGCCAGCCCGGCTCCGCGCTTCTGCTTAGCAGTCGGGTTTTTCGCCAGATAGTCCCAAAGTTCTAGCCAGTACGGTTTGACTAAGTCTGACACTAACCACTCCCTCCAGTCGTCTTCGGAATTGAGTTTCAGTAACTCCAGCAGTCCCCTTTTGCCTTTCTTGGCCAGCTCCTGTGCCGCTGTCACCTCTGCTGTATTGTTGCTTGCAGAGGAGGGTTCTAAGCTGTGTTTGTTACCTATTTCTTCCATATTAGTACTGTCTCCTTGCGTCGTCTGCAAAAGCATTTCAGCTCACCTCTCGACCAATGGATGACTGTTTCTTCGGGCGTTTCGGGCGTTTCTGCCATTTTGATGCTGGTAGCCTTCTCCATGACGGTCTAGTTGTGAAGAAGAAGTGTAAAGGAGAGAGATAGTAAAAGATTGAGAGAGAGGGAGGGAGGAAGTGACAGAAACAACTTAAGAGAGTGATGTAGAGAAGAGAAAGAGTGAGAGAATGAGAAGAGAGAAAGATGTAATATATATAAGAAGAGAGTGAAGTAACAGTGAATTGATAGTAAATTGACAGTGAATTGACAGTAAGGTAACAGTGATTCAGTGAATAACCTGTGGAGAACTTACTTACTATAAAAAAAAAGAAATAGTAATATAATTATTTGTAGATAGATTAGAAATAGAAAAGTAATAAGCTTTTAATAATAATAAATAATTATAAAATAAGCTTCAAACAGTTACTTTCTTGTTGTTTTCTTAAATATAGTTTCAAAATAGTGTAATAACTATTATATACAGTATAATAGGGATGCTTACTATTTATTTTAGTCAGCAACTATTAGGAACTGTTATGCAACTGGTCACAACTAGCCACAACTGGCCACAACTGGCCACAACCTCGCGGTAACTTCCGCCAGCGGCCTACTATGTATACAGGTATCCGGCCTAGGAAAAACTATCTCATCATAAGTCCTAATCAATCTACACTACTCACTACCCAACACAGCAAGAAAATGGAGTATTAATCATCATACGATGCAATTAAGCTCTAAGACGCCAATGCACGCCACGAAAGCAAATCAAGCACAAGAAAGCTTAAGTTGAATCAAGCCGAAAATCGAAGAAACAGGCAGGCAGGGACGCCATAATCCATCATTCTCACCTCCGAAGATCAATTCGGAGTGTGTCCTAAGACTAGCCTATGGACGAGACAAACGACAGGCGGATGGGGGTGGGGTAATGATAATAAAAGTGCGTAGAGGGAGATAATAAAAAGTGAGAGAGAGAGGTGAATGTACATGGGATATTTTGAGGGGGCAGGGACATGGGATGGGTTTGATCAAGCATGGCAACACAGCACAGCACAGCACCAACACACACAATGAAAGAAAGAGAAAGGTCGGGAGAGAAAGGTCGTACAGCATCATTATCTTTTGTACACGGATGAAGTGAAGATTGCATGTAAGCAGAAATCCAGAAGAGGGCTTTTCTAGTGGGCCGCGAGACCGCCGGGGAGCGGCGCATCGAGGTCGATGTTCGAGACGGAGGTACGGTTCTCGCCGCTCTCGCGGAACAGGTTGGAGAAGTACTTGCAGGCGCCTTCGCTCTCGTGCTTGGTCTTGCTGACTTCCTGCTTGCGTCGTCCGAGGTCTTCGATGTCTTGGGAGAGGCTGGTCTGGAGGTTTCCGGCCGGGAGGCGCAGGATGCGGCGGACTTCGGAGGAGATGCGCGTGGCGTTGGAGTGGACATAGTCCATCTCGGAGAGAGTGACGGCGAGCTTGCGGGATAGACGGGGAGGGAGGGTTGTCGGGATAGAGGAGAGCATCCAGGCGGCAGTCAAGACGGCTGATTCGGTTAGTTGAGATATCAAGAAAGAAAGAGTAGGGGGAAAAAAACTCACCAGCTGCCGCAATACTGGGAAGGAAGAGACGGCGCAAGTTGTTCGGGCCCAGGAACTTCGCAGCGCTGAACATGCTGTCCACCCAGCTGATCCCACCCAAGGCTCGGCCTCCAAGAACAGTCACGGCAGTCATGGCCATGCCCGTGCCGGCGACCTTCTCCTGTCGCTCCCAGAGACCCGAGATATCGAAGAAGTCCCACAGTTCGACTTCCGTGTCCACTTGCCTGGCAAAGGTGTGACGACGTCCCCGACGGAACATCATATCCGCGCGGAAGTTTAAGGGGGCAAACTTGTCCTCGCCAACGTGGAGGAGACCGATGTTCTGGATGAAGCCGACGCCCTGCACCGTCTTGTCGCGAGCGTAGTCCTCGCAGTCAGTCACCGACGCAGCAATCTGCTCCAACATGGCAACCTTGAGGTCCTCCGCATACTGGAAGGCCGAGAAGAGGCCGGGGTATTCGACACCCAGATCAGCCTCCGAGACACGGGCAATAGTCTCGCCCAAGGTAGACCGTGTGTGGTTGTAGACATCGTCGCACGACTCGTCAACGAGCTTCTCGACCTTGTCTCCAACCTCCAGCTTCCTCTTCTTACCATCCTCGTAGGCCGGCTCCAGCTCTGCCAGCTCGTCCGTGACGCGCTTGAGCTCCGTCTGGGCAACATCGCGGTTAACCGAGGCCAGTGAGTTGAGGTCCGCCAGCAAGTTCAACAGGTAGGTCCGAGCAGGAGCAAGCTTCGAGCGGGAGCGCTTCTCGAGAACAAACCGCCGCAGGGAGCTCTCCAGGTTCTCAAAGTCCTGGATCTTCTCCTTCTCCTTGCCCTTTCCTTTGTCCTTGCCCTTGGGCCTATCCTCATCATCGTCCGATCCATCATCACCGCCACCGCCGGAGCTCTCAACCGAAACCGGAGGGGCCACCGGGATAGCGTTACTGGACACAAAGTGCACAAGCTCCGCCGACTCCTTGTAGGTGCGAGGGCTCAGCTTGCCGATTTGGTCCAAGATCATGCGCTCGCAACGCTGCTTGTCGCGAATCTGGTCGAAACCATTAACAACAATAAACATGTACGCTTTCTCGTGCGCAGCATTAAGAATAAATTCCTTGGCCGAAAGAGTGAAATGGTTGGCAGCCGAAACCACAAACACGACGACATCAATCTCCTCCTGGCGGGCAAACACCGCCGTCGTCTTCAGCGAATCCGAGTTCAATCCAGGCGCATCGATCAGGGCAATATCCACAACGCCGTTGTTGAGAAGAGACTCATCGATTGTCCGCACATCCTTCACGTAGACCTTGCACTGCATGTACTTGGAGTTATCGATGACGATATCCTCCAGCTGATGCAGGGCATACACATCGTAGGTGCTCTCATCGTTGCGGTTGTACGGCACGTCCTTGTGCACGGCGTGCACTTCCTCGATGCCACTGTTCTCACGCGCATCCAGCACCTCACAGAAGATGCTGGTGCAGGGCTGCTGATCCTCCGGCAGAACCTTGCGCCGCAGGAGCGCATTGCAGAAAGTCGACTTGCCCGCATTCAGATCACCGGTGATGAGAACCTTGCTCGCCGTATCCTCGATGCGGTCGCGCAGCGACAGGAGATGCTTGACGCTCTGACTGATCTTGCCATCCAGCAGCGACGCAATCGACGCCTTCTCCAGCGAGTGTACCAGCTCGGCCTGCGACAGGGCGCCCAGCTTCAAATCCAGCTTCAGAATCGAGAACTCCTGCGCGATCTGCGGACTCATCAGTCTCGGCTCGGACGGCACGCGACGCTCCGCCGCGGCACTCGACTCGGCCAGATCCTCGCCACCGGTCATCGTCGCAGCGCGCCGGATCGCCCCAGGTCGGGGCAAGTCCTCCATCGCCGCATCCCCCTCCCCGAAAAACGAGGATCTCTTCTGCAGCGCGGGTTTATGCAACGGAGAGCCGGGGGTGCTCTGGACGGAGGGATAGTGGGCGGGCCATTGACGGTTCATATCCTGCAGTTCCTTCAAGGTGTCGATGGTGCGGGAGATGGCACGCGCCAGCTTGGTGCGGTTGGAGTTGCTATTGAAAGTCAGCCCTGGCCTGCGGTGGACCTTTTGCGCAAGGGTGGCAAAGCGGGCAAACATACTATAGTAGTTGATGGACATGGCTCGCGACGACCTGTCTCTCGTGTTCGGCTATAGTATAGTACCCAGGCGTCAGTTAGTCCTTGACAAAACCCTTCACGAGGAAGCCAAGCAGAGAAGAAGGAAGGGCGACAAACCAGCAGGATTCCACTGTCCCAGATGCGTCGGGGTTTGCATCGGAGTCGGTCTATCGACCATCAGATCGGCCTTCCAGTTGCTTTCAGCATCCCCTTCCATCAGGCTGCCAGCCGGAAGACTACCGCCATACCCAGAGTCCTGGTTCAGGGAGGCCATCAGGGCGGTGGCGGACTCGGAGGTCGAGCCATTGCCGACGGTCATGTAGGCCGGCGGGGGTGTCGGACGTGTGAAATCAGGATTGGAGGGCGAATGCTCCTCGGGCGGCGGAGACTGCGAGGGATAACGGGGTCTGGACGAGGACGACGAGCCCTCGCCGGCGGAGGAGGGGCCACTGGCGGGGAAATACTCCTGGCTCATGGCGACGGTTGCATGGAGGAGAGATGGCGACGAAGGTGTTGATCAGACAAAAAGTAGGAGGATCGAGAGTGACGCGCGAGGAAAGCGAAGGGGAAAAAGACGCTGACTGATCGGATTTGCGCCAATCAGGCCGAAAGGGGGTTGGCGGGCCCTGCATGTGACTGGTACGGTATGGTATTCATGGGGATGGGGACGGAGGGAGTACTGGGTACAGTATTATTCCTCCTGATGTCACCGGCGGGTTCGGACCAGATAGCCGTCCGTCCTCATTCTTCTGTCTAACAACCATCCCATCCATCCCAGGCAGCAGCCGGTTTGGATGTGAGAGCTCAGTCTCACTCTCTTCTCATCCTATATCCCCAACACCAAACCACCACATCCCTCTTCCACCGCCATCATGAACGTATGTCCCCCTCTCCTGGTACCCTCTCTCAACCAACCCCCCCCCTCCTCTCCAAACACTCCCACACCCACTAACCACACCACCCATCCAACAGATCGTCGAATGGGCCTTCGGCAAACGCATGACGCCCGCGGAACGTCTCCGCAAACACCAGCGCGCGCTCGACCGCACACAACGCGAACTCGACCGCGAGCGAGTCAAGCTCGAGAACCAGGAGAAGAAGCTGGTGCAGGATATCAAGAAGAGCGCGAAGAATGGGCAAATCGGAGCGTGTAAGATCCAGGCGAAGGATTTGGTGCGGACGAGGAGGTGCGTCATCCCCCTCTTCTAGGCTATCTGTTGAGCTGGGTTGTGCTAATGAGATACCGAGCAGATACGTCCAGAAATTCTACCAGATGCGCACGCAGTTACAGGCCATCTCGCTGCGGATTCAGGTACGGACAATTTACACGGCCACATATCCCAATATCCCACTATCCCACCGGTTGCCGCTATCTGGTTTTGTCCAAATCTAACGCAACCTGCACGAAAATACAGACGGTCCGAAGCAACGAACAAATGATGCAATCAATGAAAGGCGCCACAATGCTACTGGGAAGCATGAACCGGCAAATGAACCTTCCGGCGTTGCAGCGGATAGCCATGGAGTTCGAGCGCGAGAACGACATTATGGATCAACGACAAGAAATGATGGATGATGCTATTGATGATGCCACGGGGTTGGAGGGCGAGGAGGAGGAGGGCGAGGATATCGTCAAGGAGGTGCTGGATGAGATTGGTGTGGACTTGGGACAGGCGGTTGGTTTCCCTTTTCTTTCTTTCTTACTTTCTCTCGGTCTCTTTCTCTCACCCTTGCTCTTTAGCGGGATTGGTTGCAGTGGGGGAAGAGAGCGCCGCTGCATGTATTGTACATTTGCTAACATGACTGTTTCACAGCTCGGAGAGACACCCACGGATATACAGAAGACAGCGGTGGGCGAAACGCGAGTCGCGCAGGCTGTCGGTGCCGGGGGTGGGGATAACATGGGCGATGATGATCTACAGGCGAGACTGGATAGTCTTCGGCGCTGAGGATGTGGTGTGACTTCCGACGACATGTCACGACTCAATCAATTGAACTGCCATTACTTCAGGGTTCGAGTTCGTATCCATGCGACTGGGTCTAGGGATGGACGGACTGACTGACGGACTGATGGACTGGGATGCATCAATCAAGAGAACCATTTCAAATTCCAAGTACAGAGCAACCAATGTATTTTGCGAGAGAGAGAGAGAGAGAGCAAGATAGCCACGAATGATTATGAACAATTGAATTATTTGAGTATGGGTATATGCTACAATCCAGGCGCATGCGCTATCTATCTATCTGTCTATGGAATGAAAATGAAAGCAAAAACTCCGAACCCGGTTCTATCATACATAATCGCCTGATCAGCGCGTGTTCGCACAAACACATTAGTATAGTACAGTACATTGGAAAGGTGCAAGGCCCAGACATGAGCAACAAATGCAGAAAGATCTTCGTCCCCTAGCTACCTACCTACCTATCTATCTACTCACGGTAGACAGGCCGACAGCAAATAGATAGACAGATAGCCAACTCCACAAACCCTCACCCTCACCCAACAACGCCACCAAACATTAAAAATAGTACCTAAAACAGCTGATTCCTATCAAACGCTCTCTTATCCCTATAACTCCACTGCCCAAACCAAGGCACAGACTCCAGCTCCGCCAGATTCGGCCTCTGGTCCACATCCTTCTGGAGCATCATCTGCAAGGCGTCCGAACAATCCTGAGTTAAATCCTCGTGGACAGGAAGCGACTCGTTGATGATCCTGCGGCGCCTGGCCCTTATCTTCTTATAGCGTCTGCGCTTCTGACCCGCATCCCGGCCGTTACGGTAGTGGTAGAGGTCCTGGATGTCGGCGCTCCATTGCTTGTCGTCCCAGGGGGAGTAGCCGTGAAGGAGCTCGTAGGTGAGGGAGGCGAGTTGCCAGACGTTCAGGTTGCGGTCGTCGTGGCCTAGCGGGACGAAGAGCGTGCGCGTGGCGTTGTAGTCCTTGTCCACCCACTCGTCTTTGAACAGTTCGACGGCGAGTTCGGGCGTCATGAATTTCTCGTAGTGGGCGATGTGCACCGTCTGCTCTTTCCAGAAGTCAGGCTCCTCATGGCCGAATTGGATGAGGCCCATGTCGAGGAGTTTGGTCTGTTGAGGTGGATATGATTAGCCTCGCTGTGGGGGTTGTTGGAGGGGAGGGGAGGGGATGGTAGGCTTACATTCAACTTCTCATCAACGGCGTAGTTTTGGTGAGAGAGGTCCACGTGGCAAATATGCATGTCCAGGAGGAAGGCCATGGCCTCCAACAGTTGGGTTGAGAGCTTGTTGGCTTGTTTCTCTCCCAGCGATGTTCTCTTCTTGGCAATAAGATCGGATCCTTTGTAGCTGGGGTATTTCCTACGATTTCTCTTCAGAAATTTGTGCTCGGCTTCCCCATAGTCGTTGGGGTTCACGAGGCCACAGGCTTCCATGACCATCGACGTAAACATATCGTGGGTGTAGACCAGCTTGAATTTGGGGAAACGTTTGGAAGAGCGCAAGAGGATCAGAACGTATGCCTCGAGCGGGACGTAGTTCTCCTGCGTAAAACCGGCCATGGCAGTGTATAGAGGAGCGACGGATGGCGGGTAGGGTTGTCGGGGAGACTGCCAGATCACGTCAGAGTTGATGGTGAAATAGGGCTGGACTTTGATCGCGTATGGCTTTTGGTCTGGATCGTCCCCTAGAGTCTAGTCAGCACCGGCTCGGGGATCGAGACGTGGGAATTGGATGGAAGAAAAAGAAGACTGACTTTCGTATGCTAGGAAGACGATGCCGTACGCTGTCAATCTCTGTTAGCTGGCTGGCTTCCAAGTATTCAGAGGGGGGTACTTACTTCCCCATCCAATGAGTCCCTTGAGTTCGAAGCGGTTGTGCACGGTGGGACATATCCCGTTCGCATATGTGGCGATCGCTTGGCGTATCTCTCCATAGCCAGTGACACAGCTAGGGTGGTTGAAGGAACACAGCTGATTTTCGTAGCTGTCATATCGGTTATGGTGGATATTGGACAGGTGCTGGCATCTGGAGACAAATGCCCCCTCAGCAGTAGAACGAATGCTGGCGTTCCAGCGCCGGAAGAAGATGTCATGGAGATCTGTGTATTCGGATGCGAGGTCTGAGCCCGGACGCATAAGATCATAGATGACGGTCGCAAGTTCCGACTGCCACCAAGATATATGGCCACAATGAATGTGGATCGCAGCCTTGGCCTCGGGCGATGTATACTGACAAGCCTGTTTCAATGCATCCTTCTCAATCTTGAGGATAGCGTCGATGGTGTTGCTAAAATCAGTGCCCCAGGTCTCCACCGTGTCGGGATAGTCCCTTGGTATGCCATCCGGTGCTGGATTGGGGTACTGATACGGCGCCGCGTTCGCCATGTTAGATCGAAGGGCGCGTGGATAAATAATCGAGTATGGTGGGCGACTGCTTGGAGAGGTTCTTTGTCTCGGGGGCTATGGGGGTCTGGACGGTTTTATATGTCGCCATATCCCGAGGGTTACGAGACAAGGAATGCACAGTGCCAGGCATGTATATGAGTCCTCCTACAGCCATCGACAATCGGGAGAGGATCGAAACCCGCCATGTCGAACAAGGGATCCATCCGAGAATGCGCTTTGTTGGAACAAAGGAGAGATGACTCTCCGTGCTGCCACGGACAAAGACGGCCCAGCCCTAACTCGTGCACCGTGCCAAAGAAGGCGCAACCCTACTTTCCTGCTGCCTCGACCGCAGAGCTTCCCAGAGAGATATCTATTAGTACTAGTAGTACGTCCGGCTGTCAATGTCTCGAAGGTATCGCTCCGGTGGACCAGCAGCACAGTCCTGTATCCCATGTTCTTGTTCCGGTGAGACCTGACAGTCGCCAGAGTCCAAGCCAAACGCTGTCGGGTCTCGGGAGAGATAGATTATTACCGACAGGAGGGCTATTATTACATCCACAGGGAGGGAGAATCGGCAGGTTGCAGCCAATGACGGTATACGCGCAGGAGGCCCGGTCCAGCTGAGGCCTGGAGCACCTGCAGGAATTAGCCATGAGTCACATTTGCGCCGGCCGATCATTGGCCTGGCAGCCCGTTCGGCGCATGCCTGTCGCATGCTGATGACGAAATACATAGCCCGGACGTGGGAAGGAGGGCGGGAAGATAGGAAAAAAGTACGGGCGAGTCGGGGCTATTATGAGCCCGTGGGAGTGCCGTGCGATCGCTATACACCCAGGCCGGAGGGTCGTGTCTATCACTGCATGCAGCAGGGTTGGGACCAAAAAAAAGAAGGAAAGAAGGAAAGAATGTTGCACAGCGCCGCTGGATCATTGCATACATACAAACCATGTGTAGAGAAGTGGATTGATCCACTTTGCTTCGATGACGGCAAGCAAAGCGGGCAGCCTACTAGTCCTATTCCATATGACATATGGCCCATGTATCGTCATGTCCGACCGAGACAGAGAAGCCACCGGCGGGCAGCGAGAGAACGAGCGCATCGTGGGATTTGCACGGCACCAGGCGCTTCCTACGCAATGGTGGTCTTGGCTGCAGGACCGTCGCATCCGCAAGCCCAATCAGGACTGTCAGGGCTAGAATCACATTGTTGGGCAACAGCGCTGAATGGTTAGGCTGCAGCGTTCGTCTTTCCCTGACTTTCTCTCGCAGCAGTTTATGCCTGGGCAGTGGGCAGTCGACCAGAAGCAGCAGCAGTATCTATCTAGCAGCATCAGCAGCAGCAGCAAATCCACTAGCCGGTCGGCCACATGCAGGCAGAGGAACATGGCGGCGGCCTTGCTTTTTTATTCATCTCGAGGGTGTCTGCTTATCCGTCATCGCCCATCCAACATCAGACTGTCGCCGTCGGATGGTGTTGGATCATCTTGCCTCTTGCATAGCCCCCATCCATTGCGGCTGGGGCCTGCAATACGAAGTCGGGACAAACGATCAGCAGGGTAGCAAGTAAGAGTTGGGATTTTTGAAGGGAAAAAAGGCAAAGGAAAAGGAAAACAACCAGGGAAAAGAAGAGACAGAAAAAGAAACGGAAGTAGTCGGAGGAGGGGGAGGCAAATGGCGATGCGCAAAACCACCATCCCAATCGCCCATGCGACCAGCCTCACGGTCCCTGTTGCCCGGGTTCTTTTGCGCCCTATTCATTCCGTCCTGCGCGCTTTTCCCCTGGTCCTTCATTTCGACTCCGCATCGTGATTGAGCGATTCCCGAGGTCACAAGCAACGAGGGTTCCAGTACCTTCGCCGCCATGAAATCCCGAGTCGTCGAGGGTTGGTCATTTTCTAGCGCTGGGCATGCAGTCCCCAATCCCTAAAACCTAATGGCAAGGCAGAAAGCGCCAGGGATCTTCAGATCCTGAAACAGTATTACACCATGTTTGCCGGACGGCTGTTGACCTGGGGTTGAAAAGGGACCGACTGACCCCTCCATGGCTCTCCTGGCTTGCTCGGAGATATAAGGATGGATGCTTGCTCGACCCCGCCCCCCATGTGGTTTTCTCCGATCCTATCCTAGGCTCTTCGTTCTGCTCGGTCCATCTCCCCTGGCTCCCCTCATCACCCTCCCTGCTCGGGTGTTGTTGTTGCTGTTGTTGACTTCTCCTGTCACCCAAGTTCGCTCGACTCACAGGGTCTCCGCCAGGGGCCAGAGTGTTACGATATGGCCGTCATCAACCACAATAACCTAGTGCCTCCTGCGCCCCCTACTCATCATCATCATCCTCCCCCGGCTCACCCAAACCAGGCTCCCCGTGTGATGCAACCCGCCCCGCCAGCTCCGGTGAACCCGGAATATCTGGTCCATCAGATGAACCGCCTCCATGTGCAGCCTGAGAGAGCTCCCGTTGCCAACACCCAGAAGGTGAAAGAGGCTGCCGTCGGTGTCGTCGAGGAGATTGACGCGCGTGCACCCTTCTACTATCTGGGATACACCTTCTTCAAGGCGACTGCCATCCCCGGACACAAGTCCACCTGGAGCCATGTGGAACGGTCCAAGATGAATCTCAGCCAGGCTGACCTGCTTCGGCTGGTGCACAAGCAAGCCCGCAAGTCCCCCATTGCGGAGCAGTACCAGGCTTTGTCCAAGGTCAAGCGAGCGCACGTGGACCAGTTGATCTCTGAGCTCCGGAAAAGCGATCCCCGGTTCGAATGGACCTGCGTATTGGTCAAGGAGGATGAGAAGCCATTCAAGGGCAAGAACTCCCGCCGGGGCGATTATGAGACGCTCTCCATGAACGTCATCATCATGCGCAAGGCTGCAGATCTTGTGTATCCCAAGATCCCTGTCGACGAGCCGATCGATGTGGTGGATTCTTCCAAGCCCAAGGACCGCGTGCCGACCCACGTCCACAACCATCCACCGGCACTTGGACCCAAGCCCGTACCTCGGAATGTGCCACCCACGGAGCCATTGACGGGACCCGCTGTCCATCAGGGGCCCGTCCTGCCGCCTGTGAATAGTGTCCAGCAGCCACTACTGCCCCCCAAGTTCCATCAGCCGCCTCCCCCACCCCCTCCAGGGTATCTGACATCCAGATCCCCCGTGGCCCATGGAGGTTGGATGCCATGGGTGCCCGGAATGCCCGGGATGCCTGCCCCCATGCATCAACACCGTGCACCACAGCATCCTCCGCCTGGGATGCACGGGGCTGTCATGGCTGGTCCCGTCAATGCTCCACACGTGGAGACCCCGGTTGATAAGGGCCGGGGGGTTCCCGTCGCCCCTGGGATGCCTCATCCAAGGCAAGAATTTAGCCCCCGATTCAATCTACCACCCCAGCCCGAAAGCCAGCCCTGGAGCAAGGTCCATACCCCCGTCCCCACCGCGATGGAACCCAAACCGGACCCCAAGTTGGAGGCCAAACCGGAGATCAAGCCTGAGACCCTCCCGTCGGTGACTCCGACTGCCGAGCCCGAAGCGGACCTCGGAATGGATGCCAGCAGCGTGGGAGACGAGGAGTCAGTGTTTGACTTCGACGACGAGAGTTCCGTCACGGAAAGCTCCGACGATGAAGCTGACCCGGACGACAAAAGCCAGCCCTGGCGCGGCAGTCTCTTCCGTCGCCATTCGTCGCCGCGAGGGAAGCACGGGTACCGGACTCACTACCGCAAGCAGCCCCAGGCCAGCGGGACGGACCACAAGTCCGGTCGATCGGGATACCGAACTGGCAGCATCGACGTCGTCCCAGCGGACAGCAAGCTTGACGCCCGGGCAGCCGAGGCTGGCGCGGGTGGCCCAGCTGGGCCAGCTGGGGCCAGTCGGGAAGTTGCGCGGACGGGCCGCGACCGGCCGAAGATCATCCACGCGCCGGTCAGCGCGGACGAGCTGGACGTGGAGCATCTGCTAGACCGAGACGAGGGGGAGCGGCTTCGAGGGGGGCGGGTGCGCAGCGACCTTCGAACGCGGATGCTGGATGATCGCGAGGCGCGGCTGGAGCAGCGGGAGCGCATGGTGGAATACCGGGCACGCATGCTGGAGGAACGGGAGCGACTGGATGAGGCGTGCTACTTGGGACGGCGGCTGTCCCTCCGCGAGCCGGGGGTGTTCTATCCTCGAAGATCGTACTTCATGCCGGATGGGCTGCAGTAGTGAGTGAGGGGGAGGGGAGGAGGGGGGAGAGGAGCAGGAGTAATTGTTTTTCCCGGTGTTTTGATTTCGGGTATATGATCGGGTGTGTCAGGGAAGTGGGTATACCATCACGTCATGGGAGTCAACAGGGATGCAGTTCAACCGCACTAGGAGGAGTCGGAGTAGGAGGAGTAGATAAAAAGGTTCAATGCAGGAGGTTGTCACGCGGAGAGATGCCAATGCTAGTGCGAGTAGGGAGTAGGAGGGAGGGAACTCCCACTTGACCTCTAGGGGGGGGGGTATCTAACAGAGAGAGGAAAGTAGGAAATACTCCGTGGTGGTGAAGTGACTGCTCACTTCCTGCCAGCGCAGTTATCGATAAGGCACCCAGGCCCGACAGCTCAGCGGCCGCTCAGTGGCCGGTTCCCTCCCACTGCCCCGCCGCGCAGCCCCTCCGTGATTCTCTCGTCTTCCTCATCCCTCCGACCTCGTCATTCCTCTTCTACTTCTACTTCTACTTCTACCTCTCTTCTTCCTTCTCCCTCCCAACTCTCTCCCACACACTCTCAACCCCCTCACCACCACTCTAACCCCATCTTACCTTCCCTTCCCCTCCATTCCTATCAACCTCTCTTCAAAATGCCTCGCCAATTTTTCGTGGGTGGTAACTTCAAGATGTACGTGCGACCTCTGCCCCTCTTCCCTGTCTGCCCCGCAGGGTCTTTCACCACCACAACAGCTCTGCCTCGCACCCTCCCACCACCCCCAACGACCCCCCAACCCCCCCCCAAAGCTAATTCTTGACACTCGTACAGGAACGGTACTGCGGACAGCATTACCTCCATCATCAACAACCTCAATGCCGCCAGCCTGGACAGCTCCGTCGAGGTCGTCGTCTCCCCCCCCACCCTGTACCTGCTCCCCGCCCGCCAGGCCGCCTCCGACAAGATCTCCGTCGCCGCCCAGAACGTCTACGACAAGCCCAACGGTGCCTTCACCGGTGAGATCAGTGTCGAGCAGCTCCGTGACGCCAAGATCAACTGGACCATCATTGGCCACAGCGAGCGCCGTGTCATCCTGAAGGAGAGCGACGAGGTGAGCACACCAACACCGGGTACCGTGGTTGGGACCGGGATTGCTAATGTCTTCGTCTAGTTCATTGCCCGCAAGGTCAAGGCTGCCATCGAGGGTGGTATCAGCGTCATCTTCTGCATTGGTGAGACTCTTGAGGTACGTTTTCTTTTTCCCCTTTCTGTACATACTACCCCTCAATTGTGGGGTCAGGTCACCGGAACATGCACTGGACGGGGACTAATATCTCTCACAGGAGCGTGAGGCCAACAAGACCATCGACGTCGTCACCAAGCAGCTCAACGCCGTTGCCAAGGAGCTCACCAAGGAGCAGTGGGCCAAGGTTGTCATCGCCTACGAGCCCGTCTGGTGAGTAGTACCTCTTTTCCCCGTCGCAGTCGCCGTCGCAAGACAATGCTAACCCACGCAGGGCCATCGGTACCGGCAAGGTCGCCACGAACGCCCAGGCCCAGGAGGTCCACGCCGCCATCCGCAAGTGGCTCGTCGAGGCCATCGCCGCCGACGTCGCCGACAACACCCGCGTCATCTACGGTGGATCCGTGAGCGAGAAGAACTGCCGTGACCTCGCCAAGGAGGCCGATGTTGACGGTTTCCTCGTTGGCGGTGCCAGCTTGAAGCCTGCCTGTATGTTTATCTCCTCCCCTTCCTGTATGAAAACCGAATCACTAACCGTCCACCCTGCTCCAGTCGTTGACATCATCAACGCTCGTCTGTAAAGCATTGAAATGTTTGTTGATGGGACATGTGATATGATATCCGATATCTATCCGCCAGGACCCCCGTCATAGCGCGGGGTACTTTTCACCTCTACTCCACCCCGATGTCGTGCGAGGGGGACTGGCGAACCGTGAAAATAAATTAATAAACCCGGATGACAGTGTCATCCGCACATAAAATATATACCAGTTCAAATGAAGAATACCCGATCAACCGGAGCATCTTTCCACATAAATAAATGCATGATTTAGCACCAGCCATCCAACCACAAAATATATCTATAACCTAACTCCGGCTGTCCAAATACTACATACATATATCATCTACTATTTATCCATCTGAACATCTACCACGTATACAACCCACCCAACATACCACAACACACACACACACACACACACACACACACACACACACACACACACACGATCATACAACTCACGACGAATAAAGCACCGAAACCCCCACCCCACTCCAATACGACTTCCCCAACCCGCCACCCCCAGCACTCTGTCCCCCACCAGCACCGGAAGCAGCACCTCCCCCTCCAGCAGCACCACAATTCGAAGAAAACGAACTCGGCCCCAAGCCCACCCCCGCACTAACAAGCAACTCCTTGACCCTCCCCTCCCACAGCAGCCGTACATTCCACGACTGATCGACCCTTATCTTCAGCACGGATTCATCCTCCTCCTGTTCCTTCCCATTCACCTTCTCGTTTTCTGATGGAGCGGTCGAGATCCCAATGGAGGGAAACACGCTTTCGCGGATCTTGCGTCTCGCCCACTCGAGACCGTCGTCGTTGGCGGGGTCGGGGATGGCACTACGTCGTGGCTTGCGCCAGAGTTCGCAGCCGGCGACCATTTCGCTTTCCCAGCTGTAGACGTTGAAGCCGAAGCGGGAGCTGAAGGCGAGGTTGGGGGAGGCGCGCAGGGAGTAGGTGGTTGAGAGGGAGCCGGTGAGGGGGGTGAGGGTTAGGGTGAGGGTGTAGGGGAAGGTGGAGATTGGGGTTGTTGTTGTTGATGATGATGATGATGATGTGTTGGGGTGGGTGGGTGAGGAGGATGAGGAAGGGAGATCGGTTGCAGCAGGGAGGGTACTGAAGCGCAGACCGGTGGACATGCCGATTAGCGAGGATACAGGGGAGTAGTAGGCCTCTGCGCCGGCGGAGAGGAGGGATAGACGAGACGGCGGGGAGCCCGAGGCAGAGACATCCCTGGGATCCGGGCCGAAGTTCCAGAGCCCGCGCCAGCCGAAGAGGGCGTTATCGGTGCTGAAGAGGTACTCGTTGCTGTATTTGCCGGTGTTATGGGAGAGTTGGGTGAGGAGGGAGGCCTGCGGGGCGGATTTGGAGAGCGGGGGGCCGCGTGTGGAGCAGACGGCCAGGGTGAGCTGCATGGTGGGGGAGATGCGGCGCAGAAAGAGGGCGTTTAGGGTGCTGGGGGGAGGGAGGTGGAGGGTTGCGTGGAAGAGGGTGGCTTTTTTGTTGGTGGTGCCATTGTTGCTATTGCTGCTGAGGTTGGCGTCGTCGAGGATTGTGTCGGCCGTCAGGGTCTGGACTGGGGCGATGGGGGCTTGGACTTGACGGTAGCCTGGGGAGAGTTTGCGGAGGGGAATCAGGGAGCTTCGGCTGGGGGTGTGGTCGAGGGGCGCGGTGCTGAAGAGGTAGGAGACTGAGCCATCGATCAGGCCGACGGTGCCGAGGGTGTAGCTTGTCGCGAAGTGCGGAGTGGAGAGGGATGAGAGGTGGACGCGGAGACGCTCGGGGGTGGAAAAGTCGAGGAGGGCTGGTGGTTGATGGTCAGCGCGGGGAATAAGACTGGGGAGATATGTATATAGAGATGGGGAGGAGTGTATCCGGTGGACATACATTGCGCCGTGGCAGTGAGGGACGAGTACGAATTGTCGCGGTTCCAATTCGTCGCCTCGGCGAACGCGAGTTGGATGTAATCCATGAAATCGAGCATTGTCGGAGACGGGGTAGACGGAATCAACAGGAAGACGCAGCCAACAGCAAAGCAGACGGCAGCATGGTGGCTTGACCCGAACTCTTGATTGACAGAGGAGAGAGAGCGAGAGAGAGCGGCGAAACATCACAGCGAGATGAAGCCGATCGATCAGCTCATTGCCGAACGCGGCCTAGCGCAAGTCTCTGCGGATAAGCCCCGCGACAACGATAATCCGGGCGTTATCGAAGCGCTGCAAAGAAAAAAAATCATTGGATCTCGAATCCACAATTTCCCGCGCCGGCTGCATCAACTTCTTCTTCCTCCATCAGAACCCCCCTCCCCCGGAAGAAACAAAGAAACAAATTAAAAACACCCCTCCCCCACTACACCACACCACACCCTACTCAACATGCCTCGTTCCAAGCGTGCCAGAGTCGTCCACGAGTCCCGGACCGTCAAGAAGGACCACAAGGAGCAGACCCGTCGTCTGTACGCCAACATCCGGGAATGCGTTGAGAAATACGACCACCTGTTTGTGTTTGCGGTCGACAACATGCGCAACACCTATCTGAAGGATGTGCGCACTGAGTTTGCGGACAGCCGGTGAGTCATTTACTATTACTTTTATACATACATATAACCAGTCCATGCCATCCCACTGCATCCCCCGCAGACACACATCAGATATATCAATTTATACAACACCTCCCACACAACCCCCAATAAACCCCCACACAACCCTCAAGACCAAGCCCTTACCCAGAACTAACCATAAAAAAATAGCCTCTTCTTTGGCAAAACCAAAGTCATGGCGGTGGCCCTAGGCCAGAACCCGGAAAACGAAGCGGCGCCGAACCTCCACCAGCTGAACAAATACCTCACGGGGGCCGTGGGGCTACTCTTCACCTCTCGCGACCCGGCGACGGTTACCTCCTACCTCGAGAACTTCCGGCCGCTGGACTTCGCGCGTGCCGGCACGGTCAGCACACGGACATTCACGATCCCGGCGGGTCTGGTGTGCTCGCGGGCGGGCGAGATCCCGGCGTCGGAGGACGAGCCGGTCAGCCACACGATCGAGCCCGAGCTGCGGAAGCTGGGGGTGCCGACCCGGTTGGTCAAGGGCAAGGTGATGCTTGAGTTGACCGAGGGGCAGGAGGGGTACCCCGTTTGTCGGGAGGGGGAGGTGCTGGATTCGAGACAGACGACGTTGTTGAAGATGTTTGGCGTGGTGACGTCGGAGTTCCATGTCGCGCTCAAGGCGCAGTGGACTCGGGAGTCTGGGGAGGTGACCATTCTCGAGAAGGAGGGAGAGGCCGGCATGGAAGTTGATGAGCAGTGATTCAGTTCCTCTAATCATCTTTTTTTTTTATCATGATGATGATGATGATGATGGTGATGATGGATCGCTGTCATTGTCATCGACTCAACATGATTCTCTCTCTCTCTCTCTCTCTCTTTCTTTGAGAAAAAGTTCCGATTTGTTTGAGAGGTGTCTCTCCTTGATGATGGGAGATCCCCGGGGCATCTTTGGAGTTGGGTATGGGCGTTTTGTTTCTCCTTTCTTCTTTTTCCCTTACGTATGTTCTCTTCATGTTTTCCAAGTTTTCGACTCGGTATATATTCTGCTTGACGAGCGTATGAACGGATATACCATACCATACCGATATGAATACCAAGCCTCAAAAGCTACAATAGAAATACATCATGGATCCTTTACTGCAGTACAAGTAATAGGTACCTAAGACAATCGTAGTCGCACAATCGCTGAACGGAAAATAAAATCTACAACACATGGTATGGTATGCCTGGTGACCACAACTGAACTGAAAACTGAAATCATTACCTTCATTTACTGCCGGTTGAAGACCCCGGGCTTTCGTTCGGCCCATTGCTGTTTTGGTGGTGGTAAACCCTACCTGACCTGATCTTCTTACCTGGACCGTGACGTGACGCCCCCAGATCCCAATCCAACCGTAGATCCATCATCCATCCGCCTGAAGAAAAAGAGAGAGAGAAGCTGAACTATCTAAAGTACATACTTACCCCGTAGAGAGTAGCGGCCGCGAAAAAAAAAAAACGAACGGGCCAGAAATGACACGATGAAGTAAAGATAGGACACGCGTAACAAAGACAAGAGAGAAAGAGATGAGAGCATAGTAGGGAAGGAAGAGGAAGAGTAATCGCAGCCGAACGTCCGGTGCGACTGATTTCTGACTTTTGGATCAACATCGACCTTCGAGCGAGAATACGGGTGTTTCCATCAAGCGTGGATAGATATCTCACAATGACCATGATTGTGAAAAGGAAGACGAAGAGCGCATGCACTTCAACTGTTGTAAGTAATCGAGTTGGTGAAGTCCTGGAGACAGAGCTTGAGCCTTCGCTGACCTTGCCTTACCCATTGCTGCAACAGGGTAAGAAGAAAGGACCAAACCAATAATACCCACCAGTTGACCGCGACTGACCGAACCGAGATGGGGATGAGCTCAGTATCTTCTCTTGGCACGGGGATCATCATATGCGTCATCGTCATGGTGTCGCTTGCGGCCGTAGTCGTCGCCGCCGCGGCCTCCATACCTGTCGCGATCGCGGTCGCTTGGGCGCTCGCGCTCGCGGTCCCGGTCGCGGTAGCGATCCCTGTCCCTGTCACCCCGATCCCCCCTGTCACGGTCTCTGTAGCGGTCACCACCGTCGCGGTCGCGATCACGGTCACGACGATCGCGGTCACCGAATGCTTCGCGGGGCCTGATGGGCTCACGGTTGCTACCTGTGCCCGAGGCGCCTCGGCCATCACGATCGAATCTGCCGCCACCGGGGCCACCGAAACCTCCGCTGCGTCCCCCACCCGGACCGGAGGGAGCGTTGGGAGGCGCCTGACCACCAAATCCGTTCCGACCACCCTGGTATCCGATTCCGCCACGGGGGCCGCCAAATCCACGATCTCCACGCATGCCTCCGCGGAAGCCGCCTCTGCCACCAAAGCCGCCGCGGAATCCACCGCCATAACCACCGGGACCTGAGGGGGCATTAAAAGAACCGGGACCGATAGGCCGAGAGGGCAAGGCCTTGGTGTAACCGCGACCGCCAAGGCCACCGGCGAAGCGACGGGGCTTCCATCCCTTCACCGTGCGACCACGCTCGACATCTACCAGAACACGGCGATCCTTGATACGAATGCCATCCGTCTCTTTGTAGGCAGCTGCAATCGGAGAAAGAAAAGAATAAGACTAGGTTAGCATCAAGCAAGCATGGGAGTTCGATACCAGTATGCATCCAGAAGAGCAGGCGAGTAGATCAGATCTGCGGCAATACCTTTCATGTCCTTCTCGCGCTCGTACACGATAAACGCATATCCCCTGTGTGCCTTCTTGGAGCCCTTCGGCGTGACGGTGTCTTTCACAATACGAATCTAAATCCCGATCATCAGCGATATCATCCGCGCCAAGCCTCTCGGCATGTAACCATACCCTCTCGATAGGGCCGAAGCGGCCAAACTCGCGCTCCAGGTCGGACTCCTTAACTTCGTAGCTCAGGCGGGCGACAAAGAGCGTTCTGAACGGATCGCCTCGAGCCTGTTGGTCGTTTGTCGGGTCATCTACACACACAAACACACGTCAGCATTCAGCGCAACGCGTCCGCAACATCCATCACCGTAGACATCGACCATCATCACTTCCAGCGGGGAGGGGTAGGGGAGATCCGTACAAGTCACCAGGCTATCGTTGAGCTGCTTCTCGAGGTTCTCCTTTTTCTCCATCTTCTGACGCAATTTGCGCTGGATCCAGCTTTCGGTGGGTGTGTAGGGGACTTCTTCTTCGTAGGCCTTCACGTCCGGCAGGAACTGCGCGATGCCGCCGATGCCGCTCTTCTTGCAGTCTTCCGGGGCCCGGCCGATGGGGGTGACATAGCGAAGAGGTGGGCGCGGTTGGAAGAGCGCCAGGAGCGGCGGAGGGAGCTTGTCCGTCATGGTGTGCGACGCCCTCAGTCAGAGGCTTGAAATAAGTTGACGGGGGTTAATTCAGAACTGCCCACAGCGTCGAATGCCGAATGAAAAAGAAACAAAGAAAGGGAGTGGGGGGGGTTGGTTGTGGGAGAGAGGGTGGAGGGGGAGGGGGAGGGTAGAAAGCACAGCAAGCAGCAGCGGTTCTTTTGTCGTCGGCGAAGCAAGCAAGCCAGACAGACAAGACAACGTTGGTCGAGTTTCGCGTCCTGGCGGGCCGCTACGCTGCTTACGGGGGCTAAGTAACCTTCTGGCCCGGGAACCGCCAGCCGCGCTAGCCGAGAGTTGACGCGCTAGCCAATGAGAGCCCGTATGGGGTGCGGCGCTGAAAAGTGCCCCCGAAGTTGTGGCTTCGACACTGTAGTTGAAGTTGGTGACGTCCCCCCCCTCAGTGAACAGAACACAGACACACAGACGCCCGCAGCAATGCCTATCCAAGGAATCCGCACGGTCGCGTCGGCTAGAGTATGTTGCTTTGGGCATGAACCCCCCCGGTGTTTCTCGGGCTAACACGGTCGTTTAGAACGGTGTCGGTGCCTTTATCCTGCAATGCAAGCAGTTGGATTTCCACTACTGTGACTGGGCTGGTAGCTCCCGGGGAATGGTGTATGTTCTTTCTCTTCCGGACCTGGTGATTGAGATTTTACCCGTGATGCTAATGTGATTGTCCTTGGATAGGGCTTACCTGAGACACCACCTCCATGCCTTCGCCAAGGCGAACCCCCAGATCGAGATCCGCGTCTCGCCACGGCCGAACAAGCACCCTGTGATCCGGGGCGTCTTCGTCAACGGACGCGAGAAGGTCATCTGCGTGCGCAACCTCGAGCCGGAGCAAATAGGCAAGAAGGCCAACCTGCTGAGGGAGGCCAGCGGAGAGAAGCTGAAGCGCACTACCAAGCCTGTGACGAGTATCAACGAGAGCGTCAGAGGTATCTGGTCCCCGTACCACGGAGGCCTCAACGGAGTGTAAGCGCGGGGTTGGGCTATGTGATCATATACCGTGGTGTTTTATTGGGGGTCCGAACCTTTTCCTATTCGACGTATTATGGGCTACTTCATCTAGTGTTGTTTTGGGCACTTCGTTTTGCGAACTCGACGCTTTCTTTGCTTAGATTATATGTTTCATGTATCATATGTACAAAAATGTCTTCATTCAATATCCCATGATGTGGAGCGCCATTGCCCGCGGGCACGCAGTCGTCATTATCCACGTACCGCCAAGGTGCACCCTATACCCAAACGCTCTATGCTATAGTAACCAAACCTAATAATATGCCCAACCAACCTAGAAAAAAAATGCAATAAGGGTATCGAGAAGTATCTGTTCGTTAAGCTTCCGAAAGGAAGAGAAAGGGGACGGACGGCTCCATCGTCACAACGCCGACACGGAGAGATGACACGGAGAGTTCGTTACAAGTAGATCTGGAACATTGCCTTGGGAGAGCTCACGGGCTTTCCGCAGTCGGCGACCTGGCATTTGGAGAATGGCTTCGTCTTGGCAGTGCTCTTTTTCGCTCGCGTGACTGCCCGATTGGAGGCACATTCGCCGCAGTATACCTAGGATGGATGTCAGCGCTAGTAAGAATTATTGAATGCTTCTCGAGCATACGTACATGTCCACACTGCTTCACAACCCATATCTGCTGCTTGGTTTCGTTGCCGATTCCCAGCTCTGAAGAGCAGTTCGGGCAGACCACCACGTCATCTTCTCCAACATTCCTGGTATACCCCTCTGGTGGCGGGCTGGGTGGCTTATATGAATTGACGGGCGCCCTTTCTGGTGTGAGCCCTGTTAGTTGGTAGTCCAGCCCCAACGGTCCGTCAACATCCAGGTTGATTGTCAGGTCAATCGCCGGGTCATCCCCAATCCATAAAGACTCCACTCCAGAAAGGCGTGGGAGTGGGCCCCTTCTGCTTGTGCGATGGCCATGTCGGCGAAAAGAGATGTCTGGTCGGTCGTTTTCTGGGTACATGAACGGTGGCAGAGCCAGTAAAGGCGGCCTCAGTTGCACCAACTGGTTCCAGAAGTGGTAGGACCCCTCATCCCGGGGGTAGGAGGGGAGTGGTGGCGGGGGCGGTAATTGTGGACGTCGGATAGTTGCCCCGACGAACTGGACTTCGGGGCTGCTCGGCGGGTGTTCCTCAGGCTCTTCCTCCAAATCCACGACCTCTCCTAGTATATCTCGGGGGAACCTTGGAGGTCGTTGACGGCGACCAGTGTCCGATGATGGGTGCGGCTGCTCATGACGGTCGGGGGAGTCGGGTTCGTTGGTGAGGTCAATTACATCGTCCAAGTGCGATGATACCGGCCGGCGGAAGTCCAGGCCATCGCCGGGATATCTTTGGGCTGGTGGCAACGGCTGGCCCGGAGTTCGTGAGGACGAGGAGGACGGTCCACCTGAGGCTGGTTCTGTGGAGGAATCGGATATTTCACGTCGCTGTCGCTGGGAGTTGGAATCAAGGGTCAGTCGGACTGGGTGTTCCCGACAGGTTGTAAAGATACCCCGCCTCCGTATCCTCCGTATTGAGGGGGGGGGGGGTTTCGAGGGATAGAGAGATGAGACAAACCTTTCTCGGGCGAGAAGCCACAAACTGAACGGCTGAGTCGTCACTCATGGTTGCGAGGCGAGGGTTGAGGGATGCCACGGATCAGGAGAGAATGAGGCGAGAGAGAAGGGGAGATGAGCAGCGGGAGAAGCGAAAGCAAGGACGGGGCGATGGGTGATTTGTTGGTGGGAAGAGAAGGAGTTGGTGGAGTAGTAGTGGTGGTGGAGGTGGAGGTAGTAGTAGGGAGCGGCCGGAGTTAGGCCTCAGATGGGGTTGGTGGAGTGGTGGCCATTCTTAGTGTTAGTGGTAGGGGAAGGGAATGAATAATACTGCTGTCAGAAGAATGGTTGTGGTTGTGGTGGTGGTGGTTGTGTCTTGGGTTGCAGTGAGTGACGGTGGTTCTGTCTGGGTCCGAGGCCTGGCAGAGGGTCATTGTTCTGGCTGGCCACCCAAGCACCACCACATCCACATCCACTCCCACATCCACTCCCACTGGGATCCCTTCCGGGTTCCAACTTCCAGGATTGTCGGTCGGAACAGGTTCCAGCGGAAGCCCGAAGAATATATATCCTGGCCCGCGTGAACGACAGCTCAGATCCATCATCCCAGCCATTCTTATTCATACTCGGGATTCCTTATCGTTCGTACTTCTTCACTCTTCATTGGTGGACGCACATCCTTAAACAAACACCCGACAGCTAGAAGTACAGAACAGAACAGAACAGAACAGGACAGAACAGAACGCAGAACAAAAAGATTTGGTTTGATTTTGGGCCCATGAGGTATCTATCAATCAATCATCATTACTACTGCGCCGTCAACTCCGTCACGCCGCCCTCGCCGTTCAGCGCCACGATGCTCTGCGCCGAACTGCCCCAGGCCGCCGCAACCGCCGGCACCGCGCTCCGCAGGGGCTCCGACCACGACTTGGATCCCTTGGAGTACTGGTGCACCGTCACGCCGCTGGGTCCCGCCGTCAGCAGGAACTGCCCGCTGTAGTCCCAGTTGATCGATTCGATCGCGCTGCCCGTCTCCAGCACCTTGCTCTCCTGAGCGTTGCGGAGATCCCAGATAGACACCGTGGTCGAGCTGTCCGCCACCGCGGCCAGGAAGACACCGTTCTCGGAGAAGAACAGGCTCTTGACCGGGCCCGACATCGCGAAGCTGGCCGCGACCGCTCCGGACTTGATGTCAAACACCTTGATCTGTCCATCCACGCCACCCGCCGCAATGAGGTGACCGTCGGGGTGAGTCTGAACGGAGAGTAAAGCTGGAGGAAAGGAGAGGTCAGATCAGAGTACAACACGCGGTTCGTCGTAGGGGCGCTTACATGAGTCACTGAAGATCTGGGTGATCACCGAGTTCGTCGTCAGGTCATACAGAACGTAGCTCTTGTCGGCGCCAACGGAAACAACGATGTCGCCCGTAGCGTGTACAGCGAGCGCCGTCGCGGCGCCAGCGTGGGAGCTGAACTTGGCAACCTCGGCGCCGTTCTCGAAGACCTGAACAGATCCCGTAGACGAGGCCACGATCGCCTTCTCGCCTGCCCAAGCTGCACCGGTGACGGGGCCAGCGGCCTGCAGGGTTTGGACAACCTGCTTCTGAGCGAGCGAATAGACACCAACCGCTCCGTCCGCGCCGCCGATAAGTGCCAGCTCTCCCGACGAGTTGACGGACAATGCTTTGCTGCCGGGGTACAGAGGCTGGGAGCTCTCCGTAGGCTTGTATGTGGAGATGGCTTCGCTGGTGGCCCAGCCTTCGGGAACAGGGCGCTTACGGCGGGTCTTCGAGAGCCTGTTCCAAGTTAGGTCACCCAGGACGGGTTAGAAGGGGTCACCGGGATCGACTTACGCTGCCTGTGTACTCTCCACCCGTGCCAGAACTGCCTCAGGCAGCCCGGTCGCATCCACCTGCATGGCCTCGCCAGCAGCACCGGCACCGCGGGCGCCGACCGTGACCTTCGACAGCGCATCGCGGGCCTCGTCTCTCTCCTGCGTCAAGCGAGCAATGACCCGCACGGCGGCATCATGCTGGTAGAGGGCGGAGCTCAGCTCCTGTCGTGTTTGAGCCAGGGTCTGTCGCAATGTGTAGGCCTCCAGAGCCAGGGCGTCCCATTCTTCTTGGAAGACACTGAGCAGGGAGGGAATCGAGGTAAGGGTGGGAGGCCGGGGCCGGACGACGCGCTGGGACTTGACGTCGATGAGATCGTCTGTGGAGAGCTCCTCCCCGTTCACGGGATCCTTTCCATTCTCCGTGATGTAGGCTTCGATGAGTCGCTTCTCGAACACGCTTCCTAGTCGGGCGTCAGACACATTACGTCGCATAGATGCGTTCGAGGCAGGTAGGACATACCGCTCTTGGGCGAGACGACGGGCACTTGGGGTGCCTCTCCCGAAACTGGAGCACATTCATCGTCAGTAATTGAATCATTGCGACCGAACGGAGGAATCCGTCGCCGCACTTACTTGCGCACAGCATGGTATTGTGAGGATGATGGTTGATGGGGGAGGAGGTTGGTTGACGCGAAGCTCGCGGCTCCTTTGGACTTTTCGACTGGCCCGATCGGGGTTAGTTCGCCGCAGACCTGACCGATCGAGCTTTGCTTGGCGCATGATTCCTCTTTGCTACTAACGAACTGGATTGTTGCGGAAATCAAGCGACTTTCCCGGACTTGGCGCTGCTTTTTGCTCACTGAGCAGCCCGGAGTATAAGAGAAGTATAAAAGTATATATTCTGAGTAATTCATGAGCAATCTGTCAAAACCTAGGATTGCTTCCCTGTTCCTGTTAGCTTAGCTTTACTAATATATATACTGTTAAACTTAGAGTGGCTAACAGCCAGGTCAGGTCAGGTTAATTGAAATTTTTATATCTAACTGCCAGGTTATAATTAGATTAAGAAAATTTTTATATCTAACTGTGATATAGCTAAAAATTAGATAATTAATTATTTTAATTATTCTTAATATTAAAATTTATTTATTATATCTTTTTAAGCTCTAGTATAATTAAGATATATTTAAATTAAATAATTATTAATCTGACTATTTTTATTATTATCTAAAAATATATAAAAAGAAGCTTTTTAAATTAAAAAAATATAATTAAAAAAAAATTAATATTTTCTTTATTATTATTTATCAGAAATAATAAGAAAATTCTAATTATATTAATAAAATTTAGCTTTTTATAAAATTATTATTCTTATAATAAAAAATATATATAAAAATATATAATTACTGCTTTATTTTAATTATATATTTTAATTATATTATAAAACACTAGAAAAACTATATATTAATTATTAATTAAAATATTAAAAATAAATATATTATTTTTATTTTATTATTTTTTCTGAATTAGATTATTTTTAGATTTATAAATAAGATATAGCTCAAAGAGCTATTAATAAAATTAAAAATTAATAGATAATTAAAAAGATTATAAATAATTAAATTATTAAAATAAAATAGATTAAATAAATTAAATAGATTAAATAGATTAAATAGATTAAATAAATAAAATAAATTAATAGAATATATTAGATTTATATTATAATATTATAACTTTTATAAAAAATTCTATAAAAATCTTTTATAAATTTTTTTTATAAATATTTATTTTTTATTTTAATCTAATATATTTTAAATAATTTTATTTAAAAAAAAAATTATTTTATAATTTTAGACTCTAGATATAAATTTCTATTTACTAGATTTATTAAAATAAATAAAATATAATAAATATCTTAGCTATATATTAAAATATAATAGATTATATTTATATAAAATTATATTTTAAAATAAAATAAATTATTTTTATAAAGTTTTTTATTTTTATTTTTTTATATTTATTATTTATAGAACAGCTTTAAAATTATAAATTAATTATAATTATTTAATTTATTTTTAGAGAATATTATTAAATCTTTTTTTTTATTTTTTAGATTTTTATAAATTATAATAATATTTAAATTAAAATAAGCTTTTTAAATTAGATTTTTTTTTCTTTTCTAAATCTTAAGATTATATATATTATAAAGAATCAGAAAATTATTTTATATTTAATTTTCTAAAAAAAACTCTTTATTTTTTAGAATTAATAATAAAAAATAATCTTTTTTAAAGATTATATATAAGCTAAAAAACCGCTATTTTATTTTAATTAAAAAAAGTTATTAATAATATAAAACAGTTTTTAGAAAAATATATTATTTTTTAATAAAATCTCTTATATTTATTATATTATATATCTTTATATCTTATAATATTTAAGAATTAAAAACTCAGAAACTAGTTCTATAAGCTATTATTTTTATAAAAATTATAAAAAAAATTATTATTAATTATATTTAAATAAATAATTAGTCAGATACTAAGTAAAAAATTATTATAAATATTTATTTATTTTTCTAAAATAAATTTTTTTTAATTATTATCTTTCTCTAGATCTTTATAATTTATAATAAATAGAATTTTTAGAATTAAGTTCTATATTTTATAATTATTTATTATTTATTATTCTGAATTATTAAATATATTTAATTTAAATAAATAATTAATTTTACTATTTTATCTCTCTGCTGAAAATTAAGTTTTTTTAATTAAATATAAATTAAAAAATATTTTATAAAACTATCTAAAAAGATATATATATAATTATTATTAAAATTTCTAAATATTAAATAAATATTAATTATAGTAGACTACTAGATTAATTTTAATTAAAAAATATTTCTTAATTTAACTAAATATTTTTTAATAAAAAATATAAATTATTATAAGATTTTACTAGATTTCTAATTAATATCTAGATTTTATATTAATAAAAATCTAGCTGTAATTATTCTATTAGTTTTATATAAATATAATCTTATTTATTAATTATTAGATATAATAACTAATAATATTAATAATAATAATATAATATTTAATATAATCTTAGTTAAACTTTAAATTTAATTTAGTTAAAATATTTAGCTTTATAATATTTTAATTAATTCTAATTTTTTAAAGATTATTTAAAACTAGTATTATATTTTCTATTTTATTTATATAATTTAACTTATAATTAATACTCTTCTGCAGAAACTTTAGATTAAGATCTTAAATAATATTATTAAATATATATAAAAAAATAATAATAAAAGTTTTAAAATCTTTTTTAATATTTTAAAAATTTTTAAGAAAATATATTCTAGAAGCTGTTTATAAAAAATTAATATAAAATCTTTTTTTATAAAAAGTTTTTAGAAATCTTCTATTAATTAATTTATTATATTAATTCTTAATTATAAATTTAAAAGATTATATAATTTATAAATATAAATTCTTAATATTATAAGAAATTTTTATTTATTTAATAACTTAAATCTAACTTAGTTTATTATTTTTTTTTAATTATAAAATCTACTAAAACTTAATCTATTTTATAATTTATTAAATATTTAATCTTTATTAAGTAATTAAAAGTTTTATTAAGTATTATAAATATAATAATATTAATTATTTTTATTTTATTATAATTAAGTAAAAATAAATAGAATATTTTTTTAAATTTTTATATTTTTTTTTTTTTTATTTTTTATCTTTCTAAGAATAATAGATCTATTATTTATAAAATTTATAATATTTATAATAATTTTTTTAATTATCTAGATTATTTAATTAATAAACTAGAAAAAAAACAGATATTCTAAAAAAAGAAATTCTTAAAAATTTATATAATATATATTAGAAGCTCTAAAAGTATTATTATTATATTTATTAAATAAAAAACTATATCTATATAATTATAATTATTCTAAATCTAATATTAAAGCTTAAAAAGTTTAAAAAAAATATATAGCTAAATAATAATATTAATTAATATTATAAATATTAAACTATTTTTAAAAAAATATTCTCTTTTTATTTTAGTTAAAATCTAATAATTAATATATTATTAATAGTCTTTAGATTATTATTAGATCTAGATAAGATTTTTTATAATATTTTTAAATATTAGAGACTCTTACTCGCAGTTAAGATATATAAAAAACTTAAGATATATTTAAATATTAAAAATATATAATTTCTTAAGATATTTTTAATTAAACTAATATAATTCTAGATATTATAAAATATATTAATATTCTTATTTATTAAAAATTCTGCTATAATTAATTTTTTATTTTTTATTAAATAACTAGAGATTTTCTTTTAGTTATAATTAATAATATTAATATTAAATATTTGTTTAATAATTCTTAAGATATCTATTATTATTATTAAAATTATCTTAATTTTAATATAATTAAAGCAGTTATATTTTAAATATATATTAATTATTTTATTATAAATAAAAAGTATTAGAATATACTTAATAATCTTAATTTAGATTTAATTATTTTTATATCTAAGAAGTAAAAGAAGAATAAAATAATTATTATTTTTTATATTAATAAAAATAAAAATATAAATAATTTTAAAGATAATCCAGAGAATAGATTATTATTAGAATTAAAAAAATTAGTCTTATCTAAGTCTTTAATTATTATATATATTTGGATAGAGATAGAGATCTGATCTTTATAATTTTTATATTATTATAATTATTATTCTAAATAATATAAAAAATAAATATTTTATATTTTTTTTTATTTTTTTTATACTAGATTCTATAAAAGTCTTTTTTAAAGTATAATATATTTTTTAAAATAATTAATTAAATAGATTAAGCAATAGACTATATCTAAAGAATATTATTATATTTATACTATAATTAAATATATATTATACTTTATATATTATTTATATAAAAAGAATATATATATTATAAATTAATCTATAATTATTAATTTATCTACTATATCTAATCTTTCTAACCAGCAGATATAAATAATTATAGTAATAATTATATCTTAATCTGATCTTAATTATATAATTAAAAATTTTTTATATCTTAATCTAGAGTGGCTAACAGCCAGGTCAGGTCAGATTAATTAGAATTTTTATATCTAATTACCAGGTTATAATTAAATTAAAAAAATTTTTATATCTAATTATAATATAGCTAAAAATCAAATAATTAATTATTTTAATTATTTTTAATATTAAGATCTATCTGCTATATTTTTTTAAGCTTTAGTATAATTAAGATATACTTAGATTAAATAATTATTAATCTGACTATTTTTATTATTATCTAAAAATATATAAAAAGAAGCTTTTTAAATTAAAAAAATATAATTAAAAAAGAAATTAGTATCTTTTTTATTATTATTTATTAAAAATAATAAAAAAATTCTAGTTATATTAATAAAATTCAGCTTTTTATAAAATTATTATTTTTATAATAAAAAATATATATAAAAATATATAATTACTGCTCTATTTTAATTATATATTTTAATTATATTATAGAATATTAGAAAAATTATATATTAATTATTAATTAAAATACTAAGAATAAATATACTATTTTTATTTTATTATTTTTTCTAAATTAGATTATTCTTAGA